CTACTACTACATACAAAAAAAAATAAAAACATCTACAATCAACAATTAATTTAAATAAAATGAACAAAAATAAGCATGCAAAACAAAAACTAATTCAAAGAAACTACAAAAAAAAACATGCAAAATAAAAAATTAATCTGAGTTTGGACTAAAAGAATTATTTTTATTAGGTAGAGCATGCAAGACAAAAGAACTATTTTAACTACGGGGTCTTCTTTGTCTTCTCCAGCGTCGATCTGAAACAGATACGGTGGTAACAGATTAATAAAGAGCAATTAATATTAATTATATTAAATACTCTCACCTTAGCAAACATAAGACTATTGTAAACTTCCCAAGTTTGGATTTGTGAAAAGCAAACTAAATCCAGAAGGAATATCGTAGCAGAAAACTTGTTCCAGTGAAATTCATATAAATCTCGTCTGGCTCTCACTCATCTGTCGAAAATTAACTGCATAATGTTGCAAGTTGAAGACGAAAACAGCAAATCAAGACAAGACAATGGCTGTTTGAATACCATCAATCTGAACTTTAATTCTCTCTTTCTCGCCATTTGGACAATCTGCAGAGACGGACAAAAAGAAATATTAATTACATTATTAATTAAATAAGAGATTAAATTAAGTAAAATATGAAATATAACAAAAACATACACGAAAGAGCAAGTAAACTAACGAAATTATAAAATGGCGATGTGCTGTCAATTTTATTCAAGACAGATAAATCCATAGATAATGATAAATCTTAAAGGCAATAGAAATAACCATAGATGCTTGTACACAATAGATAATTGATTGAAGAAAATCGTAGATGTGGGCAATAGATAACTGTAAGAGAACAAAAACCATAGATGCCACTATGGCAATTACTTACATCGAGGATAACTGTTACGGTGCTAGTTTTATTTTTAAGTACATCAATGTGAATTTGGGTTCATTTGTTCTCGAAAAACTGCACTTCTCAAATCTAAGAGGAGGGAACATTAACCGGGCTCCAATTTTCCACGTTTGGAATCTTTGTTTTTTGTTTCCTTGTTCATTTAATAAGTTAAATGATAACCTGTTGGAACAATTTAATGTTAGTTTCATCTTAATTATTTTGTTTTAAAACATTATAAACCATAATTTCCATCAATCAAATAATAGACTAACAAATTCAATAATTAACTACTACAATTGAGAAGTCAAAAATTATAGAATTATTGTCAAACAAATAGAATACAGGATTTAGAAAATCATAAAGCACTTCATAAAATAAATAATGATTTCTTACCCTTTCTACATCCAAGAGACATAAGTGTGGGTGATCTCAGTCCTTTTAATTTACCTTCTCCAACTTCATTGTTTTAATAGAAACCTGAAACTTAATATCAATTATATGTTAACTAGATTTTGTTATTTTATTATTCAAGATAATTACCACTGTTAGCATCCTACGCCCTGTAAATTTTTCGACAAGCACGTCTGAAGCATTTTTGGAAATAAGTAGCGCGTCCATATAATTTTAGGATGTCATCTTAGCAAGTCTGTATTATAGAAACAAAAACAAGTCGTTAAAACCCAAACTCTACAATAAGAAAAAAAATGAAGTTTTCAGAAATTTAGGATTTTAAAGGCCGAATAATATTTTTGAGAAATATTTCACATATTTTGGATATAAAATGAAAGCAGTTTTTGAAGACGGTGAAATCTAAATGAGAAATCTGCAATCATCGCTTACAATTGTTTTCAAATTTCAAAAATCCTAACAAAATCCCAATTATTCCACCTCAAATAAACTAAGAATTTATAAAAATTCACAGTGGATAAGTGTAAAAGCAAAACCAGTACGCCACCGGTTTCCGTATTCTCCACTCCTCTCGCTAAAAAGACCTAAGCATGGTAATCGAAACCCATCAATCACTAAATATAAATAAACTATTTCACATAATCAAATGAAAATCTAATAGAGTATACATAATAAATACCTTCGGGTTTCGTTTTCACTTATTGGCAGCAAATACAGTACATTATCGACATGGCTCAACGTCTTCTCCGGTTTTCTCGAATACCGAAAAGAAGATGACAGACAAGATTACCGGAAACTCACAGACAAAATTTCTTCTATACTTATGATACATAGATAATAGGTTTTATAGGCGCGTTCAACTATACTGACTCAGTTTAATTCTCTAATAAAAACTTATCGTCTACAATAAAATTAAAACACTAACGCCGTATTTTAACTGTCTTTGAAGCCTTATTTTGCAGTAAATTTAAACATGTGTCTTCTTTTGGCAATTAAATAAATAAATGATCTTTTGGTCATTTCTGGGGATTAATATTGTCAATTGCTATACGGTTAGTGCCATAGATTTGATATATACCCTTTGTATATCTATTATTTGCGGCCATAAATTAGAAACATGCAGTTGGTATAATTTTTTATTTGGGTTATAACTTGGATTTTATTGGAAAAAAATAAACTTCGTTTATATTACAATTGAAAAAATAGGCTTGCAATAGTGAATTTAAATGGTTTATCTATAGTTTTTAAAGGGTCAATGTTTTTCAAATCGTAGTTGTGAGGTTATTACTGTGAATTGACGTGGAAGAAACGAAAAATTATAATTATCGGCGGTGATACCTACCCTAGTTTTTAATTTATAATGGAATGGTTTTTTACTCTACCATTCTTTCTGTTAGAAGTACCAAATATAAAATTAAAGAAACCGTCATGGTTAAAGCAACCATCACCTATGGTTGTATACTCAGTCGTTCTTTTTTCTTATTTTTTGGTAATTGGAGGTAAGGCCATATAACATTGAAAACCCGTAGGAGTGCGACTATTTTGTTACAGGTATAATTTACGACGTCATTGTTGAACCACCCAGTGTAGGCTCTACAACAGATGAAAATGGTCATTCTCGGCCGGTAATATACTTCCTACATTTTTGTTGTACAGATAATCAACTATATGTTCTATAGGTTGCTTTTATGCCATACAGAGTAAATGGACAATACATAATGGAAGGACTGGCTTCAAGTTTTTTATTTTCCATAGGGGGATTGGGATTTGTTATTTTGGATCATGTGCATTCTCCATTAGCTCCAAAACTTAATAAACTGTTGTTAACTGCTGTAGGGTTTATATGTATATTAGTTTCATTTTTCACAACATGGGTTTTCATGAGAATGAAATTACCAGGATATCTACAATCCTAGCTTTGTATACATTTATAAAAAATAAAGATTATAACTATCCAAAAATATGTTATCATTAAGGAAACAAGATACAGTAATTTCAAAACTCCGCTAGATACCTACTTAGTAATTATTAAAATTGTGTGTTTATAGTTAAACCTTATTCTGTTTTTGAACTACACATTTGATATCGAGAATAAAATCAATTATTAAAATGATTATATTTTTTCAAGTAGCTTCTTACAGTTGTCACTATATCTTATCATTAATTATAAAATAACATATACAACAAACTTTTTATTATAGTCTTATTTCATAATTATGATCTTTTTAATGAATCATTTGTCAGTATGCAGCTTAATGGTTCTTATTTTTAACAAAACCTGACATTATTTTTTAGTACTAAAATTGATAAAAAGGTAGTAACTGCTACCAAAGTACACTACATAATCAATTTTCATTTACAATTTTCACCCTTATTATAAATGTATGCTCCATGAAATTTTAACAGGATATGTATTCTACTTTTTCCTGTTGAATCTCTAAACTAAAGATTATCATCATTTTGCTTACCTTCAATTCCTTCTCAATAAACATGGAATCAGGGAATGAAATGTTGATAATAAGACACTTATTTTCCAGTCAATAGGTGTGATTAAAAACATTATACTAAATTCAAAGTCTTATACGAAAAACACTGAAAATAAGTATATTGTTAGTACATCATTTTTTTGAGTAGATTATCTTACTTTAAGAAATCAGAGGACTTATTAATGATGTGTTCAAATTCTGCGAAAGAAAGAGCCCCATCATCATCTAAATCAGCTTCATCTAGTATATTTTGAATTAATCGTTGCATGTTATTTTTAGATAGTTCGTTATCACCTATCAACTTTTTTATAATTTGCTGCAAATCAGATGTACCTAACATATCATCTCCATCAAAGTCTAAACAAAAGCATTAAAGTAACAATGTTAATAAAGATTGAAAACCTACCAAAAATTCTAAATGCATGTTCAGCTTTAACTGATTTAGGTGCTGCTTCACTAAAAACAGACATCATATCTAGGAAATCTTCGAATGTACAATCACCATCATTTCCTGAACTAAAGACTTTACAAATTCTTTCACCAAATGGGTTAACCTTTAATTCTGTAAGATGTAATATTTTGCTCATAGGAAGTTTGGCGTTTTTATTATGACCAACTTTTTCTGGTGCTAAATTCTTAAACTTGTGATGAGCACTTGAAGTGGAATTCCTTATTATATACATTCAACATAATGAAAAAATATAACACTTACTGTAGCACTTCTTTTTTGGTGAAATATGTGAGATCCTAAAACAGTGCATTAAATCAAATTTATTACATTACAAAAAAAATATGGCTTTACCTCATAGTCCTGGAGTTCTTCTTCCGAAAATTGACTTTTTCCTTGACCCATTGAAACTTTCTGTATTAAAACTACTTAGTATACGTTTGCCATACACTATGACCATACAATAACATTACTTTTAAAAACAAAACAGTATACGAATGCATTCACCCAACCATAGACAAATCCCAACAATGGCAAGAAAACACGATAATAATTTATAATCATAGATATTTTATGACACAGCAATGGTGTAGACGTATCGGTTTACCATAGATAGATAAAAAGATGGTAAAAATATATTTACGCCCTCTAGAAGTTGTCAAAATTAATGAAAATGGCACGGATTTTAAATTGGCCTTATAAATAATAAAATTATAAATATGACAAGATCTGAATTATCCTCTGAACCACATTACGAAGAAAAGGAAGATATAATAATCTGAAATAAAGTGGCTGACATAAATAGAATGAATAGAACTTATTCTTAGTGATAAAAGAGATTTCTAACAGATTAAGTCTTTTTGGGGCATAATGGTTTATAGTATAAATTAAATTCAGACATACTTATACCCCACTTAATTTTATATAATGTAACGTGTATAACTACATAAAATAATACTATTCGATTTTAATGCAAGAAAACTTTGCTATCCTGTTATTATTTAAAGAAATAAATGCATAAAATAGAGATTGAATAGTAGCATATGTTTTGTATAAGTAAGCAAAGTGAACATCATGCAAAAACTACTGAAGAGATTTTGATTAAATATTTTGGTTTTATTCTTTAGTAATATTAATTTAATAGTTTTCTTGCCACTGATAAGTGGGGCCTCACGAAACGGTGTGCAAGCGTAGGAAGAAGTTTCTATTTCTGCCTCAACATAAATAAGAGGCAACTGCACGTTATTTGCCCAAGCAACCTGATACTGTGAAATTCAGTTTAATGTATAATACATAACAATTTAGAAATAGGATTATCTTTTAAGTAAAGTTACTCTTTAATTTAGCCTCAAAATAATTCCAAAATTACTGAAGAATATATACGCTATTAATACTAGCACTTTTAATAAATAATAGCATAATAAGTTATTTTAAATCACATTAAAAATTATATAACTCAAAATCTTTAGTTGAAGCCTTTCACTGATACATATTGCCAATTACTCTAAAAAAATGAAAAGTTAATAGTACAAAAATTAATGAATATGTAACTAATCGTAAAAATATACCGAAATAGCCTGATCCCATCCTGAGCCTAAGGGATTAGACGAATGTACACCATGACGTCTGAGTAATAATCCGGTACTAGTGGTCACCCATACTTCTCGTTTACCCACGGAAACATATTTAAAAGTAGTTTCATTTAATGCGGTATCTATCGAAAAAATAATTGTAGTAGCTTACATTGTATAAGAAATGCTATATCTAAATTTCATACCCCTAAGGCATTTTTTATGTATAGGTATGTATACAGACATTAACAGCATGATTCTCATCTTCTTTTTTATAAAATTAAATTAAATTATGATAGTTACCACCAAGTTTATTTTGAGCGTGTCCTAATAAAGACGGATCTACTGGGATCATGTACCAATGAGTACCTTCAGGAGTGGTGGGACTAACTTCTGTTCTCATATACAATTTTCCTAAAGTGTCTATTGCCCAAACACCAGCTTCGCCGCAAGCAATTTGTTTTAGTTGGTTGCCACATGGCGGATCCACAACGGCCCAGGAAGTCCCGTCAAGTTTTTCCAAAGTTATACCTACCCGCCAATACGCACAACCATTTTTACCTGTTACCCATACACGTTTGAACGGGCCACAACTAATGCTGCTCAGAGGTTGCGAACTACTGACATGTTCCCACATACTCCCCTAAATACAGAAGCATTATTGTGTTACGTTTAATTCTAAGGGCCATTGATTTTTGGTATGTTTTTTTGCAATTTTTTGTTTGAAAGTCTGGTTTCATTATCATCAATTAATTTAATCAAAACGTTTTAATTATCCAAAGGGAATATACAGAAAAAAAGAATGTAAAATATACTTAGTATGTAAATACATATAACAGTAATTCAACTAATTAATTAAAATATTTCATTGAGTGTCGAGAAACCAATCTAATTCTAAAAAAGTACTTATCTTTGTTGTATTTGGTTTAATGTTGATATAGTATCTATCAAATTTTGCACATTGTTGCCCATTTGTTTTTTTTTCTTGTAAAATATAATACATTGTTGTATATTGTATATTAATAATTTTAACTTACCACTGGGTTTTCTTTTGAAGCTCCAAACCGTATCATGGCTTGTCCACCCGACGCTAAAGCCCACACGGCAATTTTTTCGTTCGGTTCATCATCGACCAATTCCAAAGTAACGTCGAGAAGTTTAGTATGCCCTAGTTCCTGCCAGGGACCTGTCGTTGCTATTGCACACTTCCTGTACCATCTGCGGCGTCGAACTAGATCTGTAAAGTGTTTGTTGGCATGGTAAGTTGCTGGAAAATCTATGGCATATTGCCATCCATCTTTGTCTACACCTCCCGGTACATGGAAGTCGATTAACCACTCAGACACCCATTGCCAATGCATCGACATTAATTTGACTTGATCACGTGTACGTTTTTGTTTACCTGTCACATCACTCCACATGTGGCGATCAGTTGGTAAACCTATAAAATAAATGCAAACTATTTACAAGGAACAAATTGTTGAGGAATGTTTTGGAGCTAAACTGAAACGTAAAAACCTGGGAAATGCTCAATATTTATTATTATGAGATAATCTAATAAAAAACGCCGTCTTATCAAATGAAATACCAGAAGTATTGAAAAATTACACAATCCGAATATAATTGGGTTACTAATTTTCTTATAAATATCTTTAACTTTTAATTTTCTTGAAAATATTTCCTATAAGAACATTCTTTAAAAATAATTAAAAATGTTGATCCAAAACTTGTTTAATAAATCTGGTTGAAATTATGTTCACGATTCACGTCCAATAATTTCGATAAATTACTGACCAACAGAATAAACTATTTTGCTCATAAATTTCAAATTTTCGATCTTAGATTTCGGGATAAATAAGTACCAGTAGTAACCTGCAGAAAAAAAGAACATGGAATCTCTAGCTGCGGGGAAGGATCATTCAAACTTTACATAAGATAATTTGTCTATCGATAGTCTTACCAGTTGAGGTATAACCAGTAAGAGGATTCCATCTTTGGTTTTCATACACTTTATAGTCCTGAGAATCAGTCATCGGATGAACGTTGTGACTATCGATAGTACTATAAAAGCCTCCGCCCCATCCGCCCGTGTATACCCAAGCTGTTCGATCGAAACCAATTGCCCATGTTACACCAGCCCTGCAGGATTCGACTTTTTTCAAATGTCCGCACATTTGTCTCCAATAAAAGTCAATAGGAGACACTAGAGGTACAGGACTTTTAATTTTTAATTTGAATGGTTGCACTTGACCCCATATTCCTAGACTAGAGATAAAATAGGGCGGTAATCGGTGTTTGTATGTACAAAATTGCTTATCATTTACGTAAACGACAAAGGCATCTTCACGAACTACGAATATCACATGAAATTCTTGGCCTGGTTCAAAAGGCAAACCTCCGTCACGTTCTTCTTCTCCCCATTTGCCTCCAATCAGGCTGTTTCTAACGATCACACCATCAGAAAAGCGAGGGTTAAAATGCAAAGCGCAATTTTTAAAATCGACATACGATTTGTGTTTGGGTTTATAGCTTGTGTGAACGTCAAGATTAATGGCAAATCTGTCGACGTCATCAGTTAGACATCCATAAATCTCTAGTTCTGAACCAGGTGACAATCCTGTGTCTAAATAATGAACGATAAATTCTTGTTTCGCACCAAGATCAACTTCTACAATGTATCTCTCGTTTTGACGTTGTATTTCTAGTATTTCTTTGGAATCGGTAACGAAAACATCACCTAATTTAGTTACCGCCCACAAACTATTTGTATGGGCTGGTCCTAGAGGAAAGTAAAATTACAGTAACACAAGTTAGGTCTCACTTCTCACTAGTTAAATCTATTCTCCATTCTTTCCTTAATATATATTCAATGGACGAATCAAAGTCAAACAGTGGTTGAAAATTGCAAGGCAGTTGTTTTTGAAAAACAAAAAACTTTCAAGCTCTGGCTTTGATTAAATTACAATTTTTTAAAATTTTATTTTACTGCCGATTGTTTAAAAATTCAGTGTTTAATACTAGCAAAAGATTAGCAGAGGTACCTGAAAGATGACCGTATCTAGTAATAATTATAATACCTGAGATGTTTTTCACTTGTCCACAAGCTGCTGTTAAATGTGATTGCCACTCCTCGAGAGTAGTATCATTAAAAAATTGAAATCTTATATATTCTGGTAATATACGTGGCGTGTGCACGATCAAACGGGGATTTCCTGGTTCGCTACAGTTTTGAATGCATGTGATTTCGTTCACACTAAACTGATGCTATACAAAAAAAGAAATTCATTTTATATAAAACTAGCAGTTACTTTTAACTTATTACTGGCGCATTTAGAAAATATGATTCCTGAAAATATTATATTCAAGTATACCTGTGAAAGTATATATTTTTGGGAAATATAAAAATTAAACTTCCAATGAAGAATATTATCTTATACGCAATAATATTAAGCAATACTTATGTGGTACAAATTAAAACATTGTCATACCAAAGTCGTAGCTCCATCTGGGTTTAAAACCGTCACAGTACCACTACTGTACATCCACTCTAATTGTATAATGCAGTCTAAAAACTCTCCATGTGATTTTATGCTAACTTTTGCTTCTCCAGTGTGAACCCACGAAGTAGTATCATTACACTTTTCGTATTGTGAAAACCGTTCATCCACTGGAATTCGATCTTTTAGTTCAGATAATATTTTTAATCGCCACGGTTTGTCTAAATCTACTTGTTGAAGTAACGCTGCTTCTACAAACCAGTTCGGTAACTGCACTGCGTCTACAGTACAAGCACCTGCTTCAACCTGAAATGTCATTTTATACAAACGAACTTTTTTTACATATAAATAAAATTTATTGGTATTAATCATATCAAATTAAAAATTTAATGTGATCATAGGAAATATATTTTAATTACTTGAGTAAAAAACTTACCCATGTCCAAGCAGCCTCACATTCTGCCCAGCAAAGCTCTTCATCTTCAGGGAAATAGAAACTTGAATAGCTGTTACTGTCTGCCTGCCAAACACTTTGATCAGATTCTGGATGAGCTTCAGTACCTACTACCGATCCCACCGAACGAACAGGACTCCATGCTTTTGGATTTTTTAAAGTTGTTTCAAAATGTTTACCCGTCAGATCTCCAACTGGTAATGACATGGGAGCAGTAGGAGCTGAATGACTCTGCTCTTCCCAATTCGAATTTGTTACATCTGCAGTTGTTTCGGTAATACTGTGAGGTCTATTAGTCTATACAACAGAAATATTTAACTAAATAATTAGCGGAATTAAATCTTAATAAATAAATAACGAGAATGTAAGTGCAAAGTTTAAAGAAGTGTTCAAAATTAGTTGCAATTCCTTCTTTCAAAATTAAGAACTACTCTAAAACTGCTTAAAAATGTGTCTTTTCATTATTAAAAGGCAACATACCAAAGATGTAAGACTGTGATTTAGTTTTTCTCTACTGAGACTTGCATTACTACTAGCTCGGCTAACTTGAAGAGGTGCATGTAACGCTCGCCATCTCTTGCCTGTCAAATCCGAACTGGTAACACCCATTCGGAAATAAATTATTCGGTCACTTGCACCCACACCCCATACTTGGTCGTTAGCAGCCACTGATATCATAGACATTCTTCCAACCATTTCAACCCAGCCACAACCCGTTGCATGTTCTTCGCTTGTTCCAGCACCTTCGCCTTTCACACCCTTTCGAAACCAAACCTGACCAAAAAAATATCTTAAATTAAGTAAAAAACAGATTGAATAACAAAATGCTATCTAAATAAATTCAAAATTCAAATTCCAACTTACTTGTTTTTCTTGACTTACTGCCCACACTGCACAGTTCCCCACAGATATATGGGACAGTCGAACACCTTCAGTAGGACTCCGTATTTCAACCCATGCATCTCCAAATAAGCTGTCTCTAGTGACTCCCACTCGTACTAACGCTCTTCCATCCAAGAGAACAGCCCAAACAAGACCTGTTGATCCCACGCTCAGCTGACAAACCTCGCAACTAGGGGGTGTTGTTACATGAAGCCACTTTGCACCTTCTGGAGATTTGGTTGAAACACAAGATCGAAACATCACCTTTTAAAGAAATAATAATTTAGGACATGGCAAAGTTTCAATTTTAACTTGTGTTGATGTTCTATAAAAATTTAAAAATCCCACAATCCTGTACAATCTATTTAAGAATGTAAATCACAAATAAATGTAAATATCAAAAGAAAAAACACTGTGCAAGAATTAGAATCATTTAAATGATAGTAACATAGAAGATAAAAGTAAGATAATTGAATATGAAGTTACCCTGTTATGTGAGGTAACGGCCCAAACCAACATTGTCCCAGGTTCAGCACCTGCAACGCCTTGTCCACCAATTGAAATGTCAATGAAGGGTTCCTAGAATTATTTTTTTATAACTTTATAGTGAAAACATTTAGCACACACCAAACATACGGCTGTAGCATCTTTATGTAAAGGTGCAATAGCACACCAAGAATTCATTGCACTGTAACGTCTTGACCGAACCCATAACCTTCTTCTAACATAACTGGACCATTGTTTTCTTTGATAATACTGAGCTGGAAAATCCACAGCATATGTCCAACCATCATGATCCAATGGTTGACCATCTAATGTCAACTCTAACTTCCAATCACCTTCCCACTGCCATGCCATAGATGGTAGTCTTATCTTATCAATTGATCTGTCAGCAGTACCATCTTCACTTGAGAAATGAAAACGATCAGTTGGTAAAAGACGCGAAGAAAAACCTTCAATAGGTATCCAGCGCTGAGTAAATAATTGTTATTTTTTAGGTTCTTACAAATTTACAAATGTTTAAATATACCTCATTTTCATAAGACTCCTCTCTTACTTTTATTGGTATATCTAATCCATGAACATAAACATAAACTTGATGATCTCCACCTAAGGCCCATAAAAAATGGGGCACTGCTGAAAGCTTCTTAAATTCTTGACCAGCATAAGGTAATTCTCTCCATAAAGTTGATGATGTAGAGAGGGTGTGAACTCTACCTTCATTATTTATTCCAAATAACAATGAACTTGGCATCCCTTACACTTTTTCGCCTAATTTCATAAATGGAAATAACAGTATTTTTACAAAAGTTATTGATTGCAGGTAAACAGTCTTGTGTTGATAAAATGTTTGCACTTACCTATAATAGGTATTTTATAATAAAAATTATTAAACATGCGGAACAAAAAGGGAATAATTATTATGTCATTACGTAGTTAAAAATTCATATATTTTACTTTTTGGGATATATTTTGACATCATCTTGACCAATCTTGACTTTTCACCTCATTATACAAACATTACATGTTTACTTTAATGTTTATGACATGTTTACTTCACAAAAAGTATTGACAATATGGGATGTGTGCAATCGATTGTGATTACAGTACCGACCCAGTATAAGAAATAAGCAATGAGTAAACCGAAATTTCTTGATTTTAAAAAATAACAGTAACACTATTTACATAATTATATTATGATATACAATTTCAAATGCTATTATTATTATTACACACTCTAATAGTACCTAAAAAGCAAAATACTACTATGAATGATAATAATCACAACTTGTTATTATCTTTTTGATTATAAACAGCTGTTTATTAACATTGTCTATGTTTATAACTTAACCATAGATAGGTTTATAACCGCCAAAAAGTACAACGTTGAAACGGTAGAAAACCGTTGTGAACGGTTTAAATAATGACAAGCCTAAACTTGTTTATGATAGTTAATTCTAGTTAATTCTTATTCACTGTGATTCTTCTATTCTTAACGGATTTTAGTTAATTTAAGGTTTTGCCAACGATGAAAAGTTCAGTTTTTGTAAATACTATTTGTGTGCTTTATTGTACTACAAATTCACAAGCTCAACTTCTTGATTATTTTAAATCTGTTGGCCAATTTTTTGGATATTCGTTTAACACTAAAAGTAATATTGGTACAAATTTGTTAACTCATAATGTACCTTATGAAGTTTCAACTGAAGATGAAAATTTTATTGCTGAAGCTGCAAAGCTTATTAGTGCTTCCTTGTCACAATTGGATTCTTGTCAGCACCGAGTGGGTATTGTATATTTATATAATATGCAATATAAAAGTTGAAGTTGCTGCTTTGTTCATAATTCTCCATGTATTAGGTAATCTACAAGTTGCAAACATCATGTCACAGTATGAATGATGAAGAGGTATCCAAACTTGCAGTTATGCTGTTGAATTGTCAGTCATGGGTGGAGGGTAGAAAAATTTATCCATGTTCTGAAAGTATGAGCATTAGAGATTGTACAAAGGAAATGGATTCAGATGCTTGGAATAGTTACCACCTAATAACCAATAGGGCACGTGCTGTTTGTTATTCTGTTAGACAAAGTCAATTTAGAGGTCTTACCGAATTGACAGTCAATAAACTAATGAATGCAGCTAAGGAGCAGCTTCTCGGTTTAAACAAAATTGCTGAGCAACAAACTCATTTACAGCAGTATGCACAGGAGAGTTTGAAATCTGTTAGTGAGGGTAAAGAATATTTTTCTGAGTTACCATATATTTATTTGAAAATGTCATTATTTATATAAGTATATATATTTTCAAAGACTATCTAATATCTTCTATTCTATTTACATTTAAGTTTCTGAAGATTTTAATGTATTGTATATTACATAGGTCATGAAAAATTAATGAATCAGCAACGCGACTTTTACAAGGCTCAGTTACATGGACAGTTGTCTTTAGAAGACAATATCAGACGCCTCACAGACGAAAAAACTATAATTTCAGAAGCACACAAAAAGTTGACAGAAATAACAAAGTCTGTTCACAGTAAATTAAATGAAGCTGCAAAGCAAATTGAGCAACAGGTTGATGAATCTAAAGATAATCACCAAGAATTAATTAAAGATTTGGACACAATACAACGAAAAGCAGAAGAAATATTTCAAAGAATTGGTAATACATTATCATTCAAAATTTTGTTTAATGAAACTCAATTTAAATACCTTTATCCATCTTCTCTATAAAGTAGACTTTTCATTAAAATGTAACACTTGTGCAACATTTGGTATAATATTTTAGGGATAAATCAGGTTTAAATATGATACATGTAGCTTTAGGTGCAGTTTGTCTGTAATAACCTGGTTGTTACTGAATATTCCATTCGGTTAGGGTTTTGACTATATTTTGTAAAAGAGTGGGATAGTGAGAATGGATTGTAATTAATTAATTAATTAAATTTTTATGATCTTATTTTACAGAACGGTCGATTGAGTTACTAACTACTCAAAATCAACTCGCTCAAGATCAATACAAAATGACCCTTTCCCAACTATCTGAATTTAACTCTACTATTTACTACTTAGTATCACTAGTAGACATTACAAAGAAAACTATTGATGAACGTCTTTCTTGGCTAACTACCACACTAGGAGGCACTGATATGGCTATTGAAAAACTATATGCCATTTTATGGCACGCTTTATTTCTAATAGTTGCGATGGTGGCTTGTGCATTTCTCTCTGCTTATTTTAGCATTCGAATAGCCGTTGCAACACTTCCTACTCTCAATTTAATTTTAACATTACAAAAAAGCAAATATGTGCTTGGTCCACTTGGACTAATGTCTTCATTGACCACTCTTGTAATAGGTATGTTAAAAGTTTAATTAATTTGGCTTCAATTCATTGATTAATAATTTCGAATTTTTATTTTGCATTTTTAAAAAAATTACTACCAAAGAAAAAGAATAAAAAATGCAATACATAAAAAATTACAATAACTAAGGTGATTTTTTTATTATATTTTTTAGGCCAACTTACTTTAATAGCAGCAATAAATATATACATGAAAATTTCGAATGAACCGAAGCAGCTATATATGTTAACAGATACAGGGAGTCTCGGTCCAACCAATTCTTCTATGACCCACAAAAATACATCTAACCAAAAAGCCTCTCCAGATTTGAAAAATTATGAATTTAAAAGTCCATCGTCAAGTTTATTTAATAGTACTTCGTCCAGGTACGAGTACAATCGTCCAGACGACCAGGACGACTATATGGATGAAAATAATTATGGTAATTTGACACCGTTAAGATCTAGTAGGTCAAGAAGTCAAACACCCCTTATTCCTCCAAATGGTTTGACAAGAAGAATTTGTGGTGCTAAAACTAGGAAAGGCACACCATGCAAAATAATGAGTACTCCAGGAAGAGAATATTGTAGCAGGCATCAAAACGGCGATTCGGTAATGGTGTCTTAATTTATTTTATTACTTTTAATGTTAATATAGTTATTTAAAGTACCTACTATTTCTGAAATTCCTAGTTTTCTGTCTCAATAAATGTATAGATAGTTGTAATTTTGTGGTGGCAAAAATGTAAATACCGTTTCTTCTTTTTAACATTAGATTTAAACTAGTCGTACATTGTAAGTTAAATACAGTTTACTGTTTCCTGTACTAATTTAAAATAAAAAAAGACATGTATTGATAACGAAAAGTTATTTTTCATTAAAAAGTGATGATTACTTTGTGATAATTTATGAATATACATATTTGTACAGCCTCTTATGTAACCATAGCCATACAAAAAGTTTGTTTTAATAAAGTGATAATAAACAAAGTAAATAGTTTAATTTACTGTTACATAATATACAAAATGTTTGGTTTTTGGACATGAATAAAACCTGGTCACTTTCTGAACAACATTTATTTAAATCGTTTAATTATAATATTCATGCAAATACTAAAAATTTATTTCACTATGTATTGTATGTACGTAATGCACATTCACCTTTGTTCAGGATTCAACTATAAAAACGATGAAAGAGCATTCTAATTCAACAACGTGTAAAATCAAGAGAACAAAACTTTTAAAAAATTCTTGTTTAATAACATTTACGAATTCTACTATTATCATCATAAACACTCCATAAAACCCAACACATGGTATAAACAAAATCTGTCGCATAAAATAATTGCTATTATCACTTTTGTACATCATTGTGTTTGGATACAATTAAAGATATATATATTTATATGAAGAGAAAAAAAAAACAAAATAAAAAACATGCACGTATACGGGAAATACACGTATATTGGCGAATGAAGGGGTAGGGGGGAGGGGGAAGAAAAATGAGTGCAATGATCTATACACAACGGTGAATGATTTTAAAATGGATTATATCATAAACTATATTATCAATATAAAATTAATATGCAATAAGGTTTTGTAGACTAGTTGATTCTCTTATTTCTTAGTACCCAGCGAAAACGCCGTCAGTTCTAAAAAAGTAGAATCTATTAAATAATTATTTTATTGAGAAACTTAACGGGATCGTAAATACACGACCTATTTATTACTTGGCAAAATTTTTCTCAAATAATTACAACCCAAATTAAGTTATATTGAAACTAATTTAATAAAGATACCAGAACATATTCTGATCTTTGCAAACATATACGGTATTTTAAACAGAAATTACTTCTTTTAGAAACAATTTTGTCTAATAAATGACACAATTAAGTGTCCTAAAATGATGTAATTACAATAATGCTGAACATTTTAAATGAAGGAGACATCTCCAATGGTGGTAAACATTTAAAAATTTACCTGCAAGCTAGAGAGCTGGGGGTTTCGCTTCAGCTGTAAAATGTGCTGATGGGCTTGCGCCAGCTGCTTCGTGGCACAGCCGAGTTGCTCCTCTAACGCGGCCGTTTCCAAACACTTGACCGATAGGCGTTCCGTCAAATCGAGCAGCTCCCTCTGTTGTTCGCGCGAGAAAGTCTGTTTAAATTTGGCTACTTCACGCTGCACCTCTGCTTCGTGCGCCTTTCTCATAGCGTCTAGTGCGGCCAACGTGGCCTGAGTCTCTTCTGCAAGCGCCTGCTCTTTGTCCTGGCGTAGGACAGCCAGTTCGCGATCGTGCTCTTCTCGTATATTGTTTACTGCTTGTCGATGCCACTGTTCGAGTACGTGAAGTGCACGTTCGCAAAGGGTTTGCAACTGCTGCAGCTCTACCTGGTGTTGCACGTTATCACAAGCGGCGAGAGCACGTCGGAATGACGAACGGATCGTTTCCGTTTGAGTAATGTATTCCATGTTCACGCGAGAACCAAAGCAGTCTTCATTCGTATCTAATCTGTACAAGAAAAAAAAATCAATACAAACTATGAAACACCAAAACGCTTTTATAAAGTAAAATAAAATATTTATCCCTTATCGTTGGCTCTGAAATAACTGTAATATAACTTTTAATTATTTATTTATTCAAAAAATTAGTACTTACTTTTTGCTATTCCTGTTCCATTCTTTTCCTTCCACGCATTTCCTAATCCCGATCAGTTGTTTTTTTAATCGGTGGCATCTCTCACACACTTCCATCCAATTAGCACATGGCAGATTATTCCCGTTTAAGTTCTCTCGTTCTTGAACGTTACCCACACATCCATTTAATCGATCAACTTCATTTGCCAGTTCAGACAGAACGCTGTTAACCGAGTCTAGATCGTAGCCACCGATGGTATCACGACATTTCTCACCTGCGTTACTTAACATACATTTGAACTCTGCCTCAACATTTTGGTTAATTTGTACCAAATCTAAACTGCTTAAACTATCTAACAATTCGTCTAACTTTAACAAATTTGTGGCACAATAGTATTCAGTCGTGTATTCTGAGTTCGATCGCGAACCAAATTCGCCAGTTAGAACGGCGATCCGAGCGTCTACGAGTGCTTTATGAGCAATCACATCTGCAAATTCGACAAGCAACACGTTCGCTTCGGAAGACATTCGTTCAAGATCTTGTTTTGATACCTCAGTTTGTTGTAATCTCATGCAACTATCCCTAAATTGTTCGCAAAGATCTTGGACGTTTTGTTGCATCTCTGTACGTAGGTATTGTTCAACGGCGTCATTCCAAAGTTCGAGAGCGGCACGTTCACTTGCATAGAAGCTGAAGAAGAATGCATTGTCAGATGCAAGAGTACTCTCGTATATTTGGGCAGATCGCATTAATACGTGATTGATTTCTGCCTCTATCAGTTCATTACTAGATATCTCCTTTGCTTTTGTTCGAATCTCCTCCAAGTCGTTAATGTCAAGTACAGGCAACTCACAGGATGCGTCAGTACTGAGGTTTACCGCTTGGGCAGCTAACGCATCAGCTAACTGAGACAATTTCGCCTTTTTATAACGTTCTACTTCAAAATTAAGCAGTTTATGTTCAGTTTTTAAGCTATTTGCTAATGGTTTGAACCTCTGATGGGTTGAAAGGGTAGATTGAAAGTTTTCAGAAACTAATAATAACCGTTTTGCCAGTATTTTACTAAGGTACTCAACTCCGGTTTTGCAGGCTGGATATCGCTCATTGCTAACACCATTTAATTTTGAATTTAATGCGGTAAACAAATGAGACGTTTCAATGGCTTCTTTTACCAACAGTCTGTCACAACTTATGTCACTGGAAGGTTTTACTTCGAAAGCTTCTTGAATTCGAGCAATTAATATATTTTCGAAAACTATTTTTTCCGCCAAAAGCTCTAACCTAGTATGATTGTTTAATTGACCCATTTTTTCCAATTTACGTTTCTGTTTCGATAAACCGATGAGTTTTGTTCGCAAAATTTCCTCAAACTGTTGAACAATACTGGTAGCCGATGATACGATCACACTCTCTTCAGTATTTGATTCGGATACATTGGCAAATGCTTCTAAAACATTCTTCAAATCGTTTAAACCAGCTTCTAAAACGCTCAACCTATCTTTACTAGGAGAAGATGCTCGCTTCTTCCCAGAACCTTTTAAAACAAGTACCTGATTTATACAGTCGTACAATTTTGTCCTTGCTATGTTTATTTTCGTTTCGAAAGTTTTAGTATCGTCCAGCGATTTTATATTGTAATTTGGGGGGTTGGACATTTGAGTTCCAATATTATCACCAATTTTAGATTCAAGATTGTTAGCAACCATGATTGCCCTCAATGATTCTGCAGCAATCGAACTGTCTAGTGATTTTCGCCTAAGTCTTCTTAATGCTCGGTCGTCTATAGGCGAAGCTCGTTCACTACTGACTTCACGTTTGTGTTTTCTTTTGGTGCGGATGCGTTCGAGTGTGAGCACTTTTGCCTCGAGTTCATCAAGCTTTTCTTCTACTTCTTTATTTGTATTTAAAGTCTCCTTTCCTTTCAATGATAATGATCGGCGCTTTTCTCTTGAATCTTGCAATTTCGTTTTTAATGTGCGTGCTTGCTTTTCAGCTGCTAGTAATTTATTAGTTAGATCTTGCACACGCATTGCCATGAAAACTGCGTTGGACTCTGCTTCCTTTTGAGCATTTTCTAAACTTTTTCTAAGATTGACGTTTTGAAATTCAATGTCGTCGTATTTTGTATTAGCCTCACGTAGTTCCCTTTTGAGAGCTTTGATTTCGGCGACTGCTTTTTCAAACCTGCTCTTTAAATCGAGGTATTGTTCGATTAGGTCATTTTGATCGAGACTTTCTAAGTTTATATCCAAATTAATACATGTTAAGTCGGTTAAAGAATTGGCTCTCGATATTCGTTCAGTTTTGCCTACTTCAAAATGTTGCAATCGTTTTGAAAGACTACTATTTTCTTCGTGATTTTTTAATAATCTTTCGTTTAGATTTTCCAGTTCATCTTGCAAGGTTCTGACGAGATACTGCTTATTTTTGAGGTCTGTAGTTAAAGAACTGCACTTGTCTTCTGCATACTGAGCTGCTTCTTTGGCTTCACTCAGTCGTTGTTCTAAGGACTCTTGTTCCTTACAATGTTCTTCTTCTACCTGTTTTATTCTTTGGTATAATTCTTGTTCGGTTTTCTCGAACATTAACAGTAAGTCATGAGTCTGTTTTTCTCTTGTAAGGCACTCGGAATGGACTTTTTTCAATCTTTCCAACTGATTTTCCAAATTACGCACTTCTTCGGTGGCTTCGTTTAATTGTTTCTTCAAGTCGTCCATTTCAGCACCTTGACGATTCAATGAATTTCTCAATTCTAGATTAATTACATCTTTAGCACTGTCAAGTTCGTCAGTTGATACACTATCGACAGTTGACTGACGAGATTGAGCACGAGGTAGGCGTGGTCTTGAACGCGTCCGTTCTTTTACTCGAGACAACGACGATCGCGTTAACGGTGGCGAAGGTGGACCTTCACCCCAATCTTCCGAACCTCTTCGACCTCCTTCAGAAGCCGTCCGATATTCTTCATCGCTTGATAACAATATGGACCTAAGAGGACTGAAGCATAGAAGTAAGCTAAAACTCTTAACAACATAGAATTAAAATAACCTTTGAATATTTGGTGTGAGTGGACTTTCCAAGGCTGCTGGAATTGACGAAGTGAAATTCATTTTTCCATCTGGTACATCACTTGAAACAATGGAAACTGAATCGACTGCTTTTTTTAAAGATTGTAACCAGTTACTTCGAATATTTGAAGTGGCTGCACTAACCAAAAGAATATTGCCGTTCCATTCTATCTGAAATCCGTAACGAGTTTCTGTTGCGACTTCTTTGAAACCAGTAATTACGTTCAATTCTATTTGAACTTCGGGCGTCGTAGATTCGTTCTGATCTTTAAAAGCAGTTAATGTTGGTCCACATAAAACCCACCAACGTTTTTGACTGTTTCCTCCATCTTCAGAATGTAACCAAAGCCATCCCTTTAAAAAAAAAATAAATGTACTTTTAATTAGCATTATTTGTTCACAAGTTGAACTATTACGCAAACCTTTTTTAAATGTAGCAATCCTTCAGCGGGTAAAGGTGCCAAATTGGCTTCTGGCGTTCGCCTTTCGGTTAGGGCGTTTGCAATGTCTCGCAATCGTTCATTTTGCCAATCTTGTTTTGCCAGTGTTTTTTCTTCTGTTTGGTGTTTATCATGGGTAGGAGGCGATCCGCTACTTACGATATACTCTAAAGAATAAAAGTCAACGTTAACAATTCAACCGTCACCATTATAAGTTATCCTATTTACCCGATTTTGTAAGTAACGAAATTTTCTCCGTATTTACCGGCAGTGGCATCGATAGGCTGGCCTTTGCTTTCTTTTGTTTCCTTTCACCACTGGTTACCTCACTTTTTTCCTCCTTTTCTTCCTTCAAGGGTGGAGTGAGGAAAGTCGTCGTTCGAGCAGAAGCACATGAAAGGTGGCGAGGTCGTCCAGGTTGAGGCGATGAACTACGTCCTAATTGAGGCAAGGAGGGCGAAGCTCTACCTCCGGGAAACGTCGCATGACGCTTGTGACTTCGAGGAAAAACAGCAAGAAGCTCGGCCCAAGCTCGAGCATCTTCGCGACTTGCTGCTTTGATAAAAGTCACTCGGTCTGGGCATGTTAAGGCAAGGGAGTGAGGGTGACCGGTTACTTGTTCCGCACCCGTCACTTCCATCACCCGACACATATCAACCCGTCCTTGTGGTACCGTGTCCGGCTGTAAAAAATAAATAAAAGGATATCAAAAATTAGAAATTCGAAAAAGGTTGTTAAAGGTGTATGTTTGGAGCATGGCGTTGTACGGGTGCGAAACATGGACAGTGGGCGTGGCGGAAAAGAAAAGGTTAGAAGCGTTCGAAATGTGGTGTTATAGGCGGATGATGAGGATAACGTGGGTAGAAAGGGTTAGAAATGAGGAGGTATTAGAAAGAATAGGAGAATAGAGGACTCTATGGAAGTCAGTAAAAAATAGACGAGATAGGTTGGTAGGACACCTTCTCAGGCATGAAGGTCTAATCAGAGACATATTAGAGACAGAAACAGGAGTTAGGAGGGGTAGAGGTAGACCTAGATTAGATTACTGTTCGCAAATAGTTAAGGATGTGGGCTGTTCTAGTTTTAGGGAAATGCGAAGTTTAGCTCAGGATAGGAAAAAGTGGAGGTACGTGTCCAACCAGTCTTAGGACTGACGACCCTATGATGATGATGATCAAAAATTGTAGAAGTATAAAAACAGTTTCATTATTAATAGAGGCAATGCTATATTACAAATTTTGTACTTTTGAAGACTGTATATTATAACAAATACGAAAACTGAAAGTAACGTTTTGCTCACGCTTGTGAGTTTCCTCACGTCGGGGGAAACATGAACACTTATATTAATTATAAATTTTGGTCAAGGTTTTTGGAATAAAAAAGCGTCACCTGCTTACAATGTTTCGAAATGGCAATATTAGGATTGACTATTGCTATTAACATGTTGATTTCTAATATATTTACCAGATGGCAGACTAATCGAATTTAGCTCGTCAGCGCTCTCTTTCTTTCTCTTTCTCTTTGTAAACAGTAAGCAAGAGGGAAAGAGATGTCCACTAACACGTTCGATTTTTGGCCAGACCTAAGGTAATTTCCTCAGATCTAAGAAATTTAGTCATCTTTCCCTTAAAGGGCTTTTTTAAATTTATAATAAAATATAATTTTTGTGCCAAATGAAGTCTTGTTGTTTAAAGGTTATTTGGATATTTGCGAATAACTAAAGAAAAAAAAAGGTCTTCCTTTTTTGTATCAAAATACATCTTTTTTGTTTAAACATTCTTTTTTTTTTCGCTATAGAAATCTCCGGGGAAATTCATGCAAGGACATTTAGGAGCAAAACTAGGGAATAAAAAGAAATTCGTCTGGTAAAGTTGATTTTTGCTGGCCAGCTCGCTCCTTGCCGCTGATACGTTATCCTATTTCGTTCCTACTTCCTTCCAAAAAAGCTTTAGGAAGTGTTACAGTCATAATATAAAACTTCAATAGATGAAAGTTTTTATAATTGTTGGTATTAGGCTTGTCGCCCCGTTATTGAATAAGGATTTTAATCTTCTTAAAAGCCTTGTTCAACGACGACGAGAATGCCCGAAAAGTTACAATTATATCAAGGGTGACCACAAAAGCTTTAATCAATTAATGAAAGTTTTTAATCAATAATAATTAACTTGTAACTTACGTGTTCATCTACAGAATAACTTAACTCTCCATCGTCATACAGAACAAACCAACGACGTTGCCACCTCTGTAATAAAATATCTAAATTAATAAAACTGTATTATTAGTTATGCATATAATGCAGATCTATGTTAAAAAGATAAGCTAATACATGGATCAAGTTAAGAATAACTGCTTGGCGTATTTCCTTTAGGTTGAAAATAATGTAAAAGTTTATTCAGTAAACCACAGTAAGTGGGGGGTTGGCTGAAGAACCATGACATTTCGTAATAACACATAAGTGAAACGAACAAGTTATTGTTTTTTAAGGAAGAAGTTTGGGAGAGATACGACCTAACGTCCTTCTAAGCTCTGCGGTTTCTCAGTTTGATTTATATGTATATGCTGGACGTCACTGATGGAAGTATTGTTTGTTTTAAGTAATTTGCTTTTCCTTATGATTAAATTTGTTCCTTACGGGATGGAGGGTATTCAAGTACTACACATGCAGGTTCGAGTCCGACGATTTCGAAGTCAAACCGACCATGCCTGGCGGGTCGATTCGAATAGGCGAAAAGTTGCCCGTGCATGGCTTCCGCGGTACAATTTTCAATAGAGCGCGCGGTGGAACGGTTCGACGGTGCGCGGTGCAACGGTCGGGCGATACTTCAATCTTCGTCCATGTTTCGCAATTTTCTCCCTTATGGGGTACAGGGTGTTCAAGTAGGTTTACTTTTAATGTTTTTATTCCATCGTTTGGACAACTGATGAATTCCGTCGCGAAAGAAACTTGATAGTTTTGATAGAAGAAATTCATCAATGGTTTCTTGGACCTCGTCAACTATTTTGAAGTTCTTATCAGCCATGTGATGCTAGAGCGATCGGAATAGATATTAATTCGATGGGACAAGGTCTGGCGAATTAGCCACGTAAGGGAGACTCTCCCAACCCAATTCACAGATCTTTGGTACCTTTTGCAACATGCGGCCGAACATTATCATGTTACAAAACCACTTGTCTATTGCTGCTACCAGATTTCAGAAACTCATAATAAACTACGCCTTTCATATCCCACCAGATACATAGCAACACTTTTTGTGAATGGATGTTGGGCTTTGGAGTCGATGTTGACGGCTTACCGAGATTCACCCAAGATTTTTTACGTTCAGGGGTTTCGTACAACACCCATTTTTCATCACCAGTAATAATTTTGTAAAGAAAATCTTTTCTGGTTGCTCTTTGTTTTCTGGGGTCAAGTTTTTGAACTTTACCAAGTTGATGTAGACGATGTGAAACGCATTGCTTAGTAACACCTAGTTGTAGTGTAAGCTCGGCTTTAGTCTAAGTAGGATTTTATCTTAACAGTTTCTTCACTTCCTCATCGTCAAATTTTTGTGGTTGGCCCGAGCATTCCCAGTCTGAATGATCAAAATCTCGCATTCTAAACCTTTGATACCACTTTTTACACGTTTCATGTGTTACAGCGTTTTCCCCCAGGACAGCACAAATCATTTCTGCAGCTTCAGCAGTATTCTTCTTTAATTGAAACGCAAAAAAAGTGTAGTGTCTCAAAAGTTAAATTAGTTTATGTAACTTTGACATGAAATGATTCACATGCAGAATAAAACCCAGTTATTAATTTGTACACCTAATACAATAACAAAGTTATGCAATTTTCCAGGAGCAGATATAAACACACCTATCTATAAATACCATCTTCGACTATAAATAAACACATTAATACGAATTTTTTGAAATTCTCTTTGGAACTTTAGTTATACTATATCTGTGTGCATTTGTTACTGAAGGCGGCCATTTTGATTTCGATTGTTGTCACATTGTTGCTGTAGTCGGCCATCTTTAAATTCAATTGTTGGCACATTGTCGTAGTCGGCCATTAAAAAATTTTGATTGGTCATCGTTGGCGGCCATTATGGTTTTTCGAATAATTGAATTAAAATACGCGGAAAGAAAACAAAACAACCTTTTACCATCAATAAATAATTCAATTAATAAAAGACGGAAATGCTTTAATGTTTTAAGGTTTATTTATTGGGTGTAGGTACCTACGTTTCAGAAACATATAGAAATAGATACGCATTTGAGGGAAATTTTAGATTTTACATACGCAATAATTCCCGTTCGTTAGTGGATTTCCGCTTGACAAAAGAGAAGATTTCGAAACGTACCGCCTGCTGTGAAATAACCAATTTTTGTGACTTTCCTTACAATGTCATGCATTTGGATACTTTAACATTAATTTTAGCGTTTAATAAAAGTTTTGAAAAAATTCTTGTGTAATAATCTCAAGCATTTCCGCAAAAAAAGAAAGTTGTCAGCATTGTAAAGCAACTTAAGGGGCGGTAACGCAAACTACATTACTCAAAAAAGTCAGTAAAAATAAACCTACATAAATTAAGAAGAAGAATTACATTTCAAGTCTGATTACGTAATATTTTAACTCTTTTTATCTAACAAATACGTATGTGGACATTCACACGAAAAAGTTGATAAAAACAGTATGACAAATGATGTTTTCATTTTACTGAAACATCTTTAAAGTTCCGAAACAGTTCGCTCGCAAATACCGAACATTTTTCGTCCGCATCACAATGGCAGTTGTAGAAAAATGGTCTCGTTATTTACTGTCCGAAAATAGATTTCTTTGGACAACAGGGCACTTGTCCAACGTCCGCATTTTCAGGCCAGTGACATATGTGTTTGTGTGCTTGTGTTTCGTATATAGACACATGCACTCGTTGCGTTAGGTTTTTCTTGTTGCAGTTTCCGGGAAGTTTATTTCGGTTGAGAAATGGTCTGCCGTTTTGGTCGTGACGAAATGGCAACAAAAGTGTTGTCATCGCGGAGAAAAGCTTATGGGGAAATGTACGATTGGTAAAAACAAGAATAATAGAATTAAGTCACTGGACATTTAGAATGTCTTTACCGAATTTTGCCCACGACTGGAAAATAGTAGAAAACAAGGGAAGAAAGTATGCATTCGTTCTCTGGTGTGAATTGCCACCCATGCACGGAGAAAACTGAATTTTTATGGCAAATCAAAAATTACAATTTCCGATTGTAAATGGCTGAATTTGCCGTAGAAATAGTAGAATTTATTAGGTAAGTAACAATTTAAATTTTGACGTTTTTTAAAAATTATTTTAAGTTTTTTAATTATTACAATTAAATTTGTAATATCAACTANCCATAAATGCTCAGAGAACACATTTCCATTTGAACCCTTGCCACGTAATGAGTGCGACGAAAAAATATTCGATAACCAGTGTTTCTATGTTTTTAACGATGCTCTTTTCGATGGTGTTGGTTAAAAATAAATATTAAAGCATGGAAAAATCGAAAATAAACAAAAAAACGTGATTTTTGAATTGACTTTTTTCTTAAAACGATTTTTTTTATATGCTTAAAACCTATATAGATCATGATCTCGATATCTAAACATGAAATAATCACTGTTGGTCAAGTCGAAATGCCTTTACAAACCGTTTGATCAAACTAAGTGTAATGTAAAGTGGTGAAAGCAATACTTTCTTTGTCTCTCTCCCTCATACTTACTGCTCGCGGAGGAAGAGAGAGAGTGCTGAGTTTGCCATATAGTGGATATATAAGGTAATAGGACTTATTTTAAAAAACTTACACGAAAAAAATTTTTTTTATCACAACGCAAAAGTTTTCGATTGTAAATGACTGAAATAGTAGAATTTATGAGGTAACTTGTAATAATCTCAATTTTGATATATTTCTTTAAAATTTTTTCAAGTTTCTTAATTATTACAATTAAATTTGTAATATCAACTAAAATACCTAGTAAATTTATTTCTGCTAGGATTTTATTTTTACAAATTCGACTCCAAATTGTAATTTTTATTATTTTCGCTTATGAAGCAACGGATTAGTGGGATAAATTGTAAATATGGCTTTAATATTTTGGTAAATTTTCCTTTTTCATTTTTTTTTGTCAGGTGATACCGGCAAACTCCAGGGAGGAGGTGCCATACTTTCTTCTCGAGGCGTTTGTGTATTTTTTTCAGCATACCTCTACTGACAGTGCGATGATTTTTCAGGGACGAAAGTGCAACAAAACCCCCTCAATGCAAAAAATCGTATTTATTAAGGTCGATTTACACATAGTACCGTGCCCAAGCAGTGCTCTTTCCGTGCTAGGTCCGCAACACAATTATATTTTATATTAATACGTATATATCTATTAACAGGAGACAACAATTCTAAAGTGATTAGTTTCCACTTTGAATTCAGTAACGAAGGGCGTAATTATAGGTGCATACGTACTATTACTACATTGTACGGTTGTACAATATTTTCTCATAATGATTGTTCATCATCATCATCATCATCATCATAAGGTCGTCAGTCCTAAGACTGGTTGGACACGCACCTCCACTCTTTTCTACCCTGAGCTATTTTCGCATTTCCTTCAAACTAGAACGACTCACATCATTAACTATTTGCGAACAGTAATCTAATCTAGGTCTACCGCTGCTAACTCCTGTTTCTGCCCCTAATATGTTTCTGACTAGACCTTCATACCTGAGAAGGTGTCCTTTCAACTTATCTCGCCTATTTCTTATTGACTGTTCTATTCTTTCTAATACCTCTTCATTTCTAACCTTCTCTATCCACTGTATCCTCATCATTCGCCTATAACACCACATTTCGAACTAACTTCTAACCTTTTCTTAATGATTGCTTATGTCAATTTATACATGATATATAATAAATATGCCAACTGTTACTAGACAAGTAACCATGTACTGAAAAAAAAACTTTAGGGTTTCACCTCACCAACTACTAATGCTCGTGGGCGAGAAATTTGTCCGGACCACGCGAAATGGGCCGATGGGGGTGGTTGGGGAGAGAAATGTTAGACATATGAAACGAAGATAGAAGTGAGTAAAGGATTATTTATTTATCTGTGGAATATTATTACCTTAGCATTTGCCCAAGTGATCCAAGGAAACCACAGAAACAACTGGACTAAGGCAAATGGATCCGCGGAAAGCTAAACAAAAGTCTAAACTTCTAGACCATGCCGCTCGTTCAACGGCT